AGGAGAGCAGAAAGTCAGCCTGCTATGCCTGACCTTGAATGCTGCCAGTCATGGTGACAGGCCACCGGGGATGGTGGCCAGGAGCTGTGGAGTTTTGTTTGGTCCGGGCTCTCCCACCAACTCCTCCTGAGCTGGGGGACCAGGGAACACGCCAGAGGTCCAGTTCAATTTGAGTTCCAGACAAACACGGCCACTTTTCCCTAGTCTATAGCCCAGACGTTCCATGTGCTTTTATTGGATTCCAGCCGGTGCCGGCATTGTCCATGGACAGCCGAGTGCCCACCATCGAAAGGGAATACGGCTGACCCTTCTCCCCAAGTGGCCGGAGACCTTCAGTTACTGGCTTGGACCGTCTGCACGGCCAGTTGTTTGCCTCCTCCGATGCCCGCTTCCGCATTGCTGCGTGTCAGTACAGGACTCGGGCGTGGGCTGGCAACCAGCCGAGCTGGCACCAGCTACTGACGTGGTTGTTTGACAGAATCGGGAAACAGCACTTTCAACACAGGGACCAGCAATCCCGGGCGCCCCTGGCCCTTGAGCAAACTCTTGGGGACAGGAGATGGGCTCTGAATTTCAGTGCCCCCGAAGGGTCCTGGCTGGGCTCTCCAGAGGCCAAGACACAGAATCTATCTTGCTCAGTATCTCTCATGATGGAAACTTCTCAGAGCCCTGTGAGGAGGGGTCTCAACGGTGGGACTTGCAGTAGGAAACTAGCGAGGTGGTATCCGTACCAGCAGGACAGCCTGAGAGATAATACAGTCCCTGCATCTCGACCCGTATTCCCATCGGTGCCCCTTTGTCGACAGCTGGCTGTCCTAGGGACCGCTGTAAGGGACTGTCCCCTGTGTCTGTAGGGCGGCAGTGGCAGGACACAGACCTGTTTGGGGAACTCGGGCTGCATCCTACGCTTCTCGTGTCTGTCAAAGACGGCTCAGGCTGTGCAGGAGACTCGGGCTTGATTGCCTGAGCACCTGGGCTTTCCTTAGACCAGTGGTTCTCCACCCTCCTAAGGCTGCGACCCTTTCATACAGCTCCTCCTGTGGTGGTGACCCCCCAACCATCACGTCATTTTCGTTGCTACTTCATCACTGTCATTTTGCTATTGTTCTGAATCGGGCGACCCCTGTGAAAGGGTCATTCGACCCCAAAGGGGTCACGGCCCACAGGTTGAGAACTGCTGCTCGGGAAGCTCGCTTGAGACTGGAGGCTTCTTGTTCATAAAGAAAGCCATGGGCTCGGCGGCGGAGGAGGTTGGACGTGGAGACTTTCCCGGCTGGGCTTAGGAAGAAGCAGGGCCGTTTCTGTTCCCGCAGCAGCATCTTCACCTTTATGCTGGGACCTGGGTCGACAGGTGAGAGGGGACTTCTGAGAACTGGCAGAGTTAGGTGTTAGAAGCCATGGCGTCTAGGTCTGGCTGAGTCCCTTTGACCTCTGTTTTCTCCTGTGGATCAGCCACAGAGCAGGGCGGGGGCTGGTGGAGGGGCACGAGTCACGGGCAAAAGATGATTCGCTTGGGCATCTCTCCCTCTGTCTTCTCCAGCCCCTTCCTTGCTCGGATTGGGGTGCTGAGAGTGGCCAGGGCTCCCACAGGGAATCTGGGTCGGATCTTGGCTGGGGTTCAGGGCTCCTGACCCTTAGTCTAGTATACTAATTTTTTGTTTGCTTGTTTATAGACCATGCCCACAATTGTTGAGTTTATTAAAGAATTTCACAGCAACTATTCAGGATCAGAAATGCTTGGGAGACAGTTCTTTCAATCAGAACAGCCTCTTTTCTGCTTTGCTCTTGGAAACACCTCTTGATTGATGTTGGGAAGAATGGTTTCAAACAGGATCCCTGCTCCGCCTCCCTCACCCCAGGGGGACGAACAACAGAAGCCACGGGGGAAGGGGGACAGTGGTCAGCGTAAGATGTGAAAGTAATAATAATTTATCAAGGGGTCATGAGGGTAAGGAGGGGAGCCAAAGGCTCAAATAGAAACACAATGTATAGAAAATGATCGCCACCTATGAACAAATGGGCTTGATACAATGGATGTATGGATTGTTATAAGAGCTGTACGACCACCCAATAAAACGATCTTTTAATTAAAAACAAAAAGAGCTGTAAGAGCCCTCAATAAAATGATCTAAAAAAAAAAAAGACCAATTTCTTGCTACCTTAAAAAAAAAAAAAAAGAACACGATTGTATTCTGACGTGGGACCTGGTGACTGGGAAGCCTTCGTTTATTTAATATCAAGCAGCTGGACGTCCCCCAGGGCTGGCCCACCATGGGTGGGGACTCCCCCCAGGGCCACTGGAAGAGAAGAGCAGCAGTGGGTCCTCAGGTGGCTCTCTGCGTGGACGCAGGCCAAGCATGTGTTCCTCCTGGGCACCCTCCATCTTGTGTAGGGCCATATGTCTGGGCACCATCCGTCTTGTGTGGGACCACGTGTCTGGGCACCATCCGTCTTGTGTGGGACCACGTGTCTAGGCACCATCCGTCTTGTGTGGGGCCATGTTTCTGGGTCTCAAGTCTAGAGGAATTCCTCCCATGAGTCTCCCTCTGAGAGGTAGCCCTGCTGACCACAATGAAGTAGGGTCTTCAAAGCAGCTGGGAGACCCCCTCGTGAATCAGTGTGCTGTCCTGCTCTGGAGAGGTGTGTGCCTCTCCCACAGCCCTGGAGCCAGCTGCCTGGAATGACCCACAACGGCCAACACCTGAGAGACTCCCAGGAAGTGCATCAGCTCTAGACCCCACAGTGGGAGATGAAACGGGGTGGGTCTAAAGAAAACATTAACTTCAGATGTGCGGTAGCAAGAGAGCCCAACCAGAGGAAAGCTGGGCAAAGGGCCCGAGGAGGGCAGTCCCCTGGGCCTGCTTTGCTGAATGAACTCTCTGTGTCACAAATGAGGTAAACTGAGGCTTGCCTGAAGGTGCCCAACAGCAGCAGTCAGATTCTCCCTTAGTTGTTTCAGAAAACAAAGGATGGGTGGGTGGGTGGGGGCGCTCCGAGGGTATCTGGCCAGAATCCCTGTCTCTGTCCCGAGAGACAGCCCAGCGGTTCTCAGAGTCCTGTGTCCCCCCAGGGGACATGGGACGTGGTCAGGAGATGTGTTTGGCTGCTACGCAAGGGGAGGAAGGGGAGCCACCAGTTTCCAGTGGTCGACACCCAGGATGCTGTTAACCATCTTACAATACACAGGACAGTCCCTCCCAACAAGGGATTCTCCTCTTCCTAGTGTCTCTGGGAGAGTCCATCATAGGGAGGGGGCGGGCAGCTGTGAGGGACACTGCTGCAGTGGCCGGAGCTTTGGTCGGTGCAGGAGGGGTCGGGCAGAGGGGTGTCCGATGAAGCCCACTTCGAGTTGCTCTCCGCATCTTGTCGCACGTGGTGTCCCCCCCACCCCTGGCCGGGTGAGTTCTCAACAACCCGTCCGTCCTCCCTGTGCAACTTCAGAGAGAAGCTTATTAAGTGTTTTAAGAGGTTGGGAAATTACAACCTCAGAAAGCACATAAATACTTCCATAAATGCCAGCCGGGCAAAGCAAGCCTGCATGGGAGAAAAGTAAACAAGCTGCCCCCACCCACAGAGAGCCCGTGTGGCCTGGAGACGGACGGATGGATGGACGGACAGACGGACGGGGCTTACTCTCTGGCAGTTTTTTCCTTTTGTTTTGTTTTAAACCCCTTCCTGTTCAAAGAGTCTGCTATTGATCATGTGTCACTGGTTAGGGCCCAGAGGGTCAGAGTGGGCGGTCACACGCTGCCCTCCTAGGTTGAACGAGCTGTGGCCACAAAGAGATAGGGCCTTCCAGCCCCTCCCACGGTTCCCTCACCCACGATCCCATAGTGGCACGAGACACAATGATGTGGTCCCTGACGTTTTAGGGACTGGTTGTGAGGTATCTTCTGTCCTCATGGCCACGGTGTTGTGTCTGGTGGGCGGGCAAATCTTATGGTCAACGGCGCCTTTTGAGTCCCAGGAAGCCTTGCGAGTCACAGCCCTGAGCCAGCATCAAAGACAGTTCCACCCGCGGAGTCCCTATTCCCAAAATGCCCGACGGATTTCAAGACACCTTGACTGGTGCTCCGCTCTCCTCCCGTCTGTGGGAAGCAGGCAGTGCAGCGCTGGGCCTCTCCTGGTCTGCTGAGAATGAGGAGGAGCTCAGCTGGAAGTGCGTTGCTTCATGCTGCAGAAAAATAAAATCACCAATAGATCTATGATTTAAACCTACCCGTCGGGCATCTGCGCTTGACTTTGATTGCAGGGAAAAGGGCAGGGAAAGAACAACAAGAAAAGCATGGGAATGGGGGCCCCCTGAGGCCCTGGTTCTAACTTAGAAGACTTCAGCGCTGCTCCTTGCTGCCTGCTCACCTCGGGCAAAGCGCCAGGCCTCAGTGTCCCCCGTCTGTAAATGGACGTGGTATCGCCCCGCTCCCAGCACTGCTGTGAGTGTCAAGGGAGAGAACCCACGTCTGGCACAGAGCTCGTTGATGGTCCACGAGTGGATTTCCTCCAACTCCCCTCTCCCGGCCCAGAGACCAGGCCTCCATGAGCAGCGATGAGGGGAGCGGGTAGTGGAGGGCATGACCAGTGGACAGATTGGGCTTCTTGTGTGTGTATGCGGGGGAGGGGGCAGGCAGGGACTGCAAGAGCCAAATATCACTGGTAAGGCCACTCCCGATTTATGGGATCTGATGTCAAGACTCTTTGAAGAGGCAATAAAATTCATATGTTGCGGGGAGTGACAACGGCGGAGAGTCCTGACTTAGCAAACCGAATTGTTTTTTTTTAAAAAAAATTTAACAAGGCGAGGACATTCTGTCTAGATGGAGAGGAAAAAGCCATTACATTCAAATGAGATTAGCCTTCGAGACCAGGGACAGGCTTTCCCAAGAGTCAAGGACGTGTACCGTGCCAACACCCCATGGAAAGTGTATATAAACTCCCTGGAGAGGTCTCAGGGATGCAGAATCGGAGCGCCCTGCTAAGCTGCACCTTTCCTCTGCTTGACCATGGCCACCCAGATCTGCACCCCAACTTTCTCTGCTGGCCTTTGTGGCTCAGCAGGCAGCATCTCCCGGGTGTCCTCCTTCCGTTCTCTGGGCTCCTGCAGGGTCCCCAGTCTTGCCGGGGTGGCAGGCGCCGCCTCATCTGTTAGGTCGGGCCTTTCGGGTCTTGGGAGCTGCTTGCCTGGCTCCTACCTGCCTGCTGGGTGCCACCCTTCTAGCTTTGTTGGGTCTGGGGGCTGGTTCTGCGAGGGCTCCTTCAATGGCAACGAGAAGGAGACCATGCAGTTCCTGAATGACCGGCTGGCCAACTACCTGGAGAAGGTGCGGCAGCTGGAGCGGGAGAACGCGGAGCTCGAGTGCCGCATCCGCGAGTGGTACGAGTCTCAGATTCCATACATCTGCCCGGACTACCAGTCCTACTTCAAGACCATCGAGGATCTGCAGCAGAAGGTGACGGGACCTGGGCCCTCTCTAGTTGGGCAGCCCAACCACTGGGCGGGCTCTGTCTCATTACAAGGCCTTCCTATTTAGGACTTCACCTTGTAGGGATTTCTCCAGGGAGAGGATGTTATTATTATTATTATTATATATTTTTCTGTAGGGTCTTGTTTTCCTGAGTTCTTGGTTGTCCCCTTTTGTCAGCCATCCCTCATTCCCCTCTTGGCCTCAGCTACAGGAAGCAAAGTTCTGTTTCAGAAGTCACTGCTGGATACAGGCCCTGGGTCGATGGTTCCGTCTGCTGGCCTACTTAGTCTTTATCTTGGGCGTACTACCGGGCCCATTGAACAGATGCAGAAGTTAAATCTTACATAGGTCCAGTGGCTTGTCTAAGAGTGCACAGCCTGTAATTGTTGGAAGCGGAGCTTGTATCCGGACCTGCATAGCTCAGCCCACCCTACCCTGTGCCACGCGCAGGGCTACAGGTCTCTGGACTGATGTTACTGACATCTGTGTGATGCCCCTGTGCCAGGGCTGCCGCTTCCCTTCGCACCTCAGGTCAGGGCTCAGGGTTGGAAGTGCCCTAGACCATTGACTGCATTTGGCAGCACGGCTTCAGGGCGCTGGGCCATTTCCTCCTTATCCACCCTCCACGGCTGGGCCTTCCCCAACTCATAGGGAACCCCCTGATTTCCAGGTCCTGCTGACCAGGGCTGAGAATACCAGGCTGGTCCTACAAATTGACAATGCCAAGCTGGCCGCTGATGACTTTAGGACCAAGTGAGTGGGCTCGATCAGGGAACGTGGGCTGTTCTTGCTACTGTCCCCTGCCTTGGGGAGGTGGGGAGCAGGGAGGTGAAGTAAGGCCAGCAGATGCTTGTAAGCAGGACATCTGGCACTTGGGTCAGGGCCAGGGCCTCCCTGCTCCCTAGCCTGACTTGGCTGGAAGCCCCTGGCCCTGCCCGTTGCATGTTGCCTCTGCAGCAGACTTGGCAGAGTTCCTTGTGTGTGCAGGTACGAGACAGAGCTGTCCATGCGGCAGCTGGTGGAGGCCGACATCAATGGCCTGCGCAGGATGCTGGACGAGCTGACCCTGTGCAAGGCTGACCTGGAGATGCAGGTGGAGTCCCTGAAGGAGGAGCTGCTGTGTCTCAAGAGGAACCACGAGGAGGTGAGCCGGGGGCCACATCCCCGAGTTCTCCCCTCTAGCTGGCCCTTGGGCATAACAACAGTGATGGTCCCTTCCAGAGTCACCCCAGGCGGTGTTCAGGGATGCCAGGGGCTGTTGGAATACTGCACATGTCATTTCCTGGCTTACTCCAGCCTCACAGCAATCCTGGGGGCAACTGGTTGACAAGGCACAGTTTACAGACGAGGGAACCAGGACTCTGAATGGTTAGGACCCTTGTCCAGGAGCCCATGGAGCTCATGGCCCTGCCCACAGCAGTGCCTCTGCCTTTGGGCCGTGGTTCACAGTGCTTGGTAACCCTTCTCCTTGCTGGCTTTCCCAGAATCCAGGAGGTATTGGGGCTGTGATGGGAGGTAGGGCCGGGGGAGTGCTGAGAGGCGAAGGGTCGTGTCTAGTGTTACCCAGCTGGCAGCCGAGGGAGCCTGGCTTAGCATCCCTCTCAGCACCTGGGCCCTCTCCTCTTCCCTCGTTAGGAAGCCAATGCACTCCGCTGCCAGCTCGGGGACCGGCTGAACGTGGAGGTGGATGCGGCCCCGCCCGTGGATCTCAACAAGGTCCTTGAAGACATGAGAGCCCAGTACGAGGCGCTGGTGGAGAATAACCGCAGAGACGTGGAGGCCTGGTTCAACACTCAGGTGGGGCTGGGGCACCAGGCCCGCACGCTCCTGGGGGCGGGGGCTGCCCCGGAGAGCGGCTTCACTCATCCCCACTGGGCTCTGTTCCCCACCCCATCTTTCAGACGGAGGAGCTCAACCAGCAGGTGGTGTCCAGCTCGGAGCAGCTGCAGTGCTGCCAGGCCGAGATCATCGAGCTGAGACGCACCGTCAACGCCCTGGAGATCGAGCTGCAGGCCCAGCACAGCATGGTGGGTGGCCGTGCCTGAGTGGGGCTGGCCGGCCTCTGCGTGGGCCATCTCGGGACAGGTGTGGTCTCAAGCCGTCCACGCAGCTCTCTAGGGCTGTGGGTTTCTGGCCATCCCTTCAGCAGCTCTTGTTCCCTCCCTTCACAGCGGAACTCCCTGGAATCCACCCTGGCTGAGACCGAGGCCCGCTACAGCGCCCAGCTGGCCCAGATGCAGTGCCTGATCACCAACGTGGAGTCCCAGCTGGCCGAGATCCGCTGTGACCTGGAGCGTCAGAACCATGAATACCAGGTGCTGCTGGACGTCAAGGCCCGGCTGGAGTCGGAGATCGCCACCTACCGCCGCCTGCTGGACGGAGAGGATTGCAGGTGAGTGGTCCGTGGGTCCTGGAGAGCCAGGCTTAGGAGATGGGTTCACCTGGACCCGACCTCATGGCCACAGCAAGGGCATTCATCCCTGTGTAGTACTGCACAGGGGACGGGACGGGATCAGAGCCCAGATCACTGTCCTTGGAGAGCAGGCTTAGGTAATTCCCAGGTGGACGAGTAAACCAAGCACGGAGCTCTTCCGCCGTCACCTCATCTTCATCCCTGGAGCCCCAGCCTGCCACCCTTGGGGATCTCAGGGGTCACCAAGAGCCGGGCTTGACCCGATGGCAACGGGCATCTGGGTCATTGTTTGTCATCGGGCATTCGTCCCCATGGACTCCCCAGATTTGTTGAACTCGAATCTCAGGCCGGTGTCTCCATGTGAAATGCACCCTTTCTTCAGGCTGCCTGCCCACCCCTGTGCCACGGAATGCAAGCCTGCCTTGAGGGTGCCCTATCTCCCGAGCATGCCCTGTGCCACCAGTGTGCCCTGCGCCCCAGCTCCCCAGCTCAGCGCCCAGATCCGGACCATCACAGAGGAGCTCCGCGACGGCAAAGTCATCTCCTCCAGGGAACACGTGCAGTCCCGCCCGCTGTGAGCGGCCCGCCTGGCCCACCGGGGCAGGCCCTGATCCCGGATCCCGGGAAGGCGGACACCCCATGGCTCCGGGCTGCTCATCCGGGAAGGCGGACACCCCATGGCTCCGGGCTGCTCATCGACTCCACCCTTTCTTAGGGGGAACCCTGCTCAGCAAGTTTTTCTACCAAATACTTCTTGTGTTGTTTCTGGTCTAACTGTGCTTTCACGCCATGCAAAGTGTAATCCCGCTGCGCTGGAAATTTGCCCAATAAAGTGTGTTCTCTCGGCATAGCAAACTCCACCCAGACTGAGTCGTCCATGCTCACGGGATGCGGTGGGGTGGGGTGGGGTGGGGTAAGGGGTTGTGGTGATGTTGAGGCTTTGGGTTTCAGGCCTGTCTTCTCTGGCTGCATGGAGGGACATGGCATGATGGCCCAGGCCATTTCATTGTGGGGGGTGGCCCCGGCCCTGGGGCAGGACACCAAACAGCCAGTCTGGATGGGCGCTGGCCTGTGGGGATGCCGGACAAAGGCCCTCCAAGCCAGTCCTCCTCTGTGCCCCTGGAAAGGCCTGGCCCTGCTGTCTGGTGCCAGGAACGTGGTAGACAGGGCCGCGCTCGGGAGAGGAGGTGTGAAGGCAGAGGCAGAGAATCCCGTGGCTCGTGGTCTCTGCTGGTTCCTGTTGGGAGGATTAAGTAGGATGGGTGCACACAGCACCCAGGCAGTGGTCGCCATCAGCGTCGGCATTACTAAACTCAAGTCTCTGGGCAGAGCAGCACCCTTGGAAGTGGACACACAGAGGCCTCAGAGCACCCACTCGACCTGGGTGGGAAGCCAGCTCACATGGCTCTCACCTCTACCCTTCCTGCGCCCCCTCTTTTTGCATCCCTGCTCTGGTGTCTGGCCAAGCCGCCCAAGGCTGGGGAGACGATAGGCGGGCACTGAGCATGCAGCCGCATCCCATCCCCATTTGGAGGAGCGGCGCGGAGCAGGCTGATTGACAGCTTGACAATTAACCATGCCAGGGGCTCCTCCCACCGCCTGGCAGTGAATGAGCACTCAACGGCTTAGGGAGCGCATGCACACACCGTCTCTCCTAGCGACAGCCCAGAGGCGTTTACGTGTGCATTCCCGCCTAGCTGGCTATTGAGCTGTCACAGCGTCTGCATGCGCTGAGGAGCCCCCTTTACTTTCTACTTCAACTCGCCCTTCCGATTTGTCCAATCAGATGATGTGCAACGGGGCATTCACCACGGCGGGGCAGTCGGCATTGGCTGGCCCAAAGTCTCCCAGCAAATGGCAGGCTAAAGATGCCAATTCAGGACTTTTGACCTGCTCCATTACTTCCCATGACGCTGAGAACTTGTGGGAAACAAGTTTTATTTCAAGGTCGTCTTTTACTTCTCAGAATACCTGGCTTTTTCTCAGACACACGTCATACAGTCATCAGCCAGACAACAGATATGGCTATAGGCGGTGCGGTGCATGGAGAAGCAAGACCTTACCGATGGTGCAGGGGTGGGAAACAGCTGGACACAAATGTTGATAACATGCAGTACCCAAGGAGTCTTGTTGCCATGGACACAGTGCCAAGAACAGCAGATGGGTGCCAGGCAGGCTTTGGGGCTCTATGCCAGGGCAAAGATACTTGATTTAGGCTGGCCAGGGAACCTTTAAGGGGAGTCTTGGATTTATGAAGCCATGATAGATGGGGTGCCAGGTTTGGTGAAGCAGAGGAGGGTGAAGGGCACAAGAAAGTGTACTGGGGGCATGTTCTAGGGGAGGCATGGCCAGCCTCTGAGCTGAATGTGAAAGTCCTGTAGGGTAAGTTTCTAACATACTTGCTAAGAAGAGGACAATGTAAGGCTACATTTTACAAAGACTTACAGAACATATCAGCTTTAAAAACATTACTTTCATGTTTTCTTGAACGATCTTAAAAATCTTACGGTTATAGTCAGGAAAGGGTGAGTTTGAGAGTTTGGGTGGGTGAAGTGAGCATTTTGACATGGCTTCTCCTTTGGCATGGCTAATTGTGATGTGTTAACGGACATCCTGGCAGCTTGATGTTTTGAATATAAAATCCTCTCCCCATGATGACCTGGGCCCTGCCCCTCGATGGGGAGAATCCATAGAACCTGGAGGATCTTTCTCGGAATGGACGTTCTTGATTGTAATTTTGTTCCTGTTTATTTTAAAATTTTCTTTTTGTTTCAAGTAGAGCAACTTCTGGCCTGAGGACACGGTGCTGACAAAGGACAGGGATAATCTGAACAGATCCCTTATGCCTTTGTCAATTCCAGACCCTACAGGGCTGGGAACCTCCTCCTCACAGGGCTTTCCAGGCCATACTCTGTCCAGCAGTGGTTAAGGGTTTGGCTGGCTACTAAGTGGCAGGAGGGTGGTTAGAACTCACCAGCACTCTCCAGGAGATAGCCACAGTCCTGATTGGTCTACTCGGCTCCTAACCATAGACTGTCAAAAGAACTACCGATTCCTTGGAAGTACAGCTTTCATGCTCCTTAGAGGGAAGGATGGGCAGACTTGTCTAATGAACTGGACAGTGTCAGGAAAGACCAAACCCTGGGGGGCACCATGCTTGTCGAGGTGGAAGGGCAGTGAGAGGAAGGCCCTCGATGAGATGAACTGCCAGTGGCTCCAACGATGGGATTGGAGGAAGAATAATCATGAAGGTGCAGGACCAGTGTTGGGTTGTATACAGGGTTGCTATGAGCTGGGTCGATTTGATGGTATCGGACATCCCTTTGTTGGAGCAGGGTTAAGACCGGCGTTCCCTCCCATCCTCTCTGGACCCTCTGTTCCTCAATGGCATCAGGACACTAACAGGGATGGACCATTTAAGCTTTCATTCACGACAGGCCTTCTAGAAGCTCAGCACCATGGGGGATTCAAAAGCAGATGAAGGTCAGTCCTCGCCTCTCTAAATATAGATCCCTAGGCAGGGTCAATTAATTGTGGGCTCACGAAATCTACTAAGGTTACTGCCTTGAGCATTCAGAGCCGGCTCAGGTTGGGGTGACAAGGTGTGGACCCCAAGTCTGGGGCTCCAAAGTCTCTTTAGTTTCCATGGGAAGACTGTGGGCCTTAGGAAGGTCATTTACCCTGGACCCCAGGTCCTCTTGGGGGAGTTAGCACTTTTCGACTTACATGTTGCAAGGAGGGGAGGAGGGGTGGGGGGGTGGGGAGCGAAACAATTGTACAAATTTAAGTTCTGCCACCTCCACTCACATATGGAGTAAAGTATAAAAACATTTTAAGACTCCTATTAAATAGGGGTATACATTATGACAATCTCACATTTTTGTGGAGCAAAATAATACAATGGTTAAGTCAAAGTACTGCTGAAAAATCAGGATACTTTTATTAATAAACAAAAATATCAAAACGGGAAGCTCTATTTTTTTAACCATTTACATCCAGGTTTGCACACATTTGCAGTTTCCATCGTTCCAACCCTTCCCCCAAGACTTCTGCCCTTTTTGATTTATACCACACCAAAGCAGTTTGGACATCATGGGACTCAAATTGGGTTGTTTCAACGTTCTTTCAGATTGGGAAACAAGCAAAGAAATCCGCGGAAGAATGGGGCTATAGGGTAGATGGGTAAGGAACACACTTCTACTAGGACAGACCCCGCTACCCTCAAAAAACGAGCAGGTGCGCTGATGCAAAACGCTCCCTGACACAACTTCCCTGGCCCTTTCTTCACCAACGCAGTGTTCATCATTCTATCAGATCTGCCTTACAAGCTCCCCACGATCACTTGTGTCAAGAAAATCGATCAAGGCTACTCTGTGGAATCCTGAATAGCAGTCACCTTTACCTTCGGAGCCACCTGTCTTCAATTTTAACTGGCCCAGCGGATTCCCTCAGAAGCCACTATTTTGTTGTGACTTTGCTCTCAGGATCAATTTGGTAAATCCAAGCGTCGTCCCCGGTTACGATTTGTTCCATGAACTTGTCTTCACTGGCTTCCATCTTGCTTGAAAGATTGAGGGCAAGATCAGCCCTTGGACCTCGCTGCTCCTCGCGGAATGTTTTCGGCACCCACCCAGCCGACAGCTTGCTGCGGCCCAGATGGACGTTTAAGATGGAAAAGGCCGAGCCGTGTGAGATCCCGACCTCGGTAGCGATGGCATCAATGGTGATTCTGTGATCCTCCTCCAGCAGCTTTTGGACTTCAGCCACGGTCTCTTCATTGGTCGAGGTCAACGGTCTTCCTTCTCTTGGCTCATCTTTGAGGTCTTCCCGGCCTTCTTTGAAACGCTTGATCCATCGAAAAATGGTTGTTTTATGTGGAGTGGCATTCCCGTACACTTGATGTAAAGCTTCAATGATTTGGGAAGAAGACCACTTGAGCTTTGTTAAAAATTTGATGTTAGCCCTAATCTCAAGATTGCTTTTTTCCATTGTACAACCAGCGTGCTTTTTTTTTTGAGGGTACCCTAAAGAGACTAAGGGTATTACTGAGAGGACCTGTCCGCTGTCACCCACTGATTGTGCAGACAAGTTTAAACACGTCTGTATGATGGAACTGGAACTCAAGGAGTAATACTTTTTGACTCACCCTCTGGGGTACAAACTCTGAGGTTTTACACTTGGGACAAGGGACAAAAGGGGAATTTCCTACTCATTGCAAGGAAACCCTCACTTAAGCGTCAGTGAGGCACAAGCACTTAAAACCCATGAACCTTCAGCTGGTCGTCCTTTGCCAGTCCGATCTGCAAAGAGAAAGGGCACAGTTTTAAGGAAGGGAGCGGATAAGGTCAATTTCCAATGCAAACCACCCAAGAGCCAGGCAGCAAGCACAACGTACAAGTCCACTACTGCATGCGGTGTTTCCCCACGTGAGGAATGTCATTAAAAATTACCCCCGTGAACACCCCGTATCCAAGTTCCACCTGCACACATGCTGAATCAGGGCCTGGGAGGATGAGGAATCACCTCCTCCACCACTGTTAAGAAATCATTTTACTTATAAGAACCTCACTTAGGTCCTAGCAGGCA